GTAACGGGTGATTTTTTAAGAGGTATATGATTTGATTTTCAAAAAAACACAAAAAATTTGAAAAAACGATTAAATCTTTATTTGAGTCGATAGAACGGTCGATATAGTTTAATGTTTAAAGATTATTTCATGTAAATGTTGGCCGCCGCTCCGCTTTAGATGGCCCATGCGCAAGGTCCAATTTTGGCACACTCTCTCCAACATATCGGCCGGTATCTCACGAATAAATGCTTCAATATTGTCTTCCAGTGCGTCAATTGTTGCTGGTTTATCCCTGTAGACATTAGCTTTAATATGGCCCCACAAGAAATAGTCCAACGGCGTTAAATCACACGATCTAGGCGGCCAATTGACAGGCCCCAAACGTGAGATAAACTGTTCACCGAACTCGCCTCTCAAAAGGGCCATTGTTTCGTGTGCGATGTGGCATGTGGCACCGTCTTCTTGAAACCACATGTCAGCCAAGTCCAGCTCTTCCATTTTGGGCAAAAAAAAGTTTGTTATCATCGCATTGTCGTCTTTGAAGAAGTACGGCCCGATGATGCCACCGGCCCATAATCCACACCAAACAGTGATTTTTTCGGGATGCATTGGTAGCTCTTGCAATGCTTCTGGCTGGTCTTCACTCCAGATGCGGCAATTTTGCTTATTAACGTACCCATTCAACCAGAAATGAGCTTCGTCGCTGAACACAATTTTTCGATAAAAATGTGGATCTTCCTCCAACTTTGCCAACATCCAAATCCTGTCGCAAAATTTTCCACGTAGTGTAGTAACAGAGGCCCAATTGCTGCGAACGGCGGCGAATCGACATTTCACGGTCATCACTAATACTGGCGGATACAGCCGCAATATTTTCTTCAGTCCTCACTCTACGTCTGCGTGTTGGTGGGTTAATGTCCAATAATGTAAACTGGGTTCCAAATTTAGTCACAAGCTTCCGAATAGCTCCCTCAGTAGGCCGACCAAATTGCCCATAAATTGGAAGCAGTGCTCGATGCATTCTCTTAACCGAGGAGGGAGGACCCAGTGTGGCCGGTATGAAAACAAGCCAAAACTTCTCATTCGTCGGTAAACACTTCGCATGCCACTAGGTCTTCCGTGTTCTGCAAACCATTCATTTGCAATGGACCTGGTAGTAGAGAAACGGTCCCTTAAGGCCAATAATCTTAGGCGGCGATCTTCACGGTCTGTTGTTCTACGGCGGCGTCCAGTGCCCCTTGCTCTTTGCGTACGGCCTTCTCGAAGCCATGCCTGACAACACCTAACCACAGTGTCTACACTTCTTTGCACTCTAACTGCAATTGCCCGAACACAAAGTCCAGCTTCCCGAAGTCCCACTATACGGCCCCTATCAAACTCACTAAGTTGACGAAATCGTACAGGTCCACGTACTCTAGGCATCGTAACCGATCGTAAAGGATGTCAAGAACCAAAATCCGCCAACGTTGATTCTTTACTGCAGCTGAAATATTCATTTTTAGAGCGTTAGTGAATTAAAAAGAAGCAGTATAAAAACCGGAATGTCCAACTGATAAGGCTGAAAATTTTTTCACTTGTTATTTACAGTAAGATAAATACATTCATCAACTTTTATTAAAATAAAACCATTTAAACTGGGTGTTCGGATTTATATGTCACTTAGTATAGATATAATGCACCTAATTTAGTCAAACGTATGAATCTGTTAGCAGCTAAATTTTTATGTAATTTGTTGAATGGAACAATTGATTGCTCTTTTCTTCTAGTTAGGATCTCACTACACGTTCCCGATTTGCGTACTCGGCATGGTGGTAACAATTCATTTTATTTAACTGTTCCGCGGACAAATTTATTGTTATTTTCGCCAATTTATGTTATGTGTAATGTCTGTGACAGTGTAAGCGAACTTGATATTTTTAGTTCCACCAAAATCGATCTCAAGAGGTGTTTTTAAAAAATTGGATAATTTATATTTATGTCTTTTTTATCATGTACTGTGTAGAGTTTTGTTTTTGTATAATTTTTTGTTTTTTCCCTGCCTGTTAATTGGATCACTCTGTTCAGGCAGTGTATGGATTATTATAAATAGATAAATAAATAAATATTTCTTTCATTTTAAGTGTTAAAGTGCAAATGTATGGATAAAGCTATATGATATCATCATAATCATCATCAGCATCGTTATGATCATCATCATCGTCATCATCATCATTACCATTTATTTATATTAGTCCAAGAAACTGATATACTCTCCCCGCTCTCTGCCATACCGTCTTTTCTAAAATGCAAAAACGACATCCGCTGCTACTAAATCGAGTTTGAATACCTTATCATCCTTGAGATAGCAGTAACCCTTTCTCAAAATTTTATCAAAGCATGAGCGGTGTTTTTTAAGTTATCGGAGAACCAAGGATCAGCGGACCGACAGACAGACTAACGGAAATGAGTGAAACGATTTTTTGTGATATGAATGTCACGGGTTATAGTACAGAAGATTTACCTCTACCACTAAAGAAGAGGATCGCGTTTCCCTGGATCAGCGCTTTGCCTTATCCAGTCTTATTTTATTGTATTCAGAGCTAGTCAGCCTGTTTTTAGCGCTCATACTATATACATCAATAGAATTGTATTTTTGATAATCGAGAATAAATCTTTTTAAAAAGCAAGTAGACTGACTCGGTCAGATAATTGGCGCAGCCAGATCGGATTTTCGGGCTGTTTCGCGAATCAATCGAGACCGCGAAAGCAGTTTTCGTATCGACGAATTTACCGGAAAAACGGCCTACGGACTAAATACTTTGGTGAGTGGGAGCTCGAGCGGAACCGGCCTATCGAAGCAGCTACCACCTACGAAGTCAGGGATTTGGACCACACATCGCCCAAATCTGCAAGCGGAACATTTTGGAGAAGGACCAGATCGCCCAACCAAGATCTTCCCCTTATAGTTTAGCAACCAAGTAAAGAAAAAGAAGGAAACGTGATGTTCTTGATCATCCTCGTATTAGCGTAAGTGCAACTATACATTTTAAATGTCTTTTTAAGATATTGCAGAGGCTATAGATAATTTGACACTTTCAACAGACTCACCTATTTTAAGACCACCTAGATTAAATATTGAAAATATTCCAAGCATGTCTCAATGCAAACCAGAATTTTTAAATTGCGTCCCAGAGTTTGACGGAAATCCTAATGACTTAAATAGGTTTCTATCAGTGAGTGAAATTTTAATTGCAAATTTTTATGATATACGGAACCCACATAATTTCCAAAATATCTATTTGCTAAATTCACTGAAATTCACTAAAATATCACAAGTTGGGCAAATTTAAAAGATATTCTGACTAGGAATTTTTCTGATCAAAGAGATGAAACTTGTCTAAACCGTGATTTGCTTATGTTGAGGCAAATGCCAAATGAAACGCCTAAAAAATTTTATGATAAGTGTCTTCATATTTTGAATCTGCTATGCAGCCATGTAAACGTCCATGAACATTCTGAAGAAGCAAAAGTGTTAAAAAGAAATTTATATCAAGAATTAGCTCTGAAAAGATTTTTGTGCGGACTACGAGAGCCCTTGGGTACAACAATTAGATGTATGAAACCCAGATCTCTCAGCCAAGCTTTACAATTCGTTATATCTGAAGACAATGTCAGCTATTTCCAAAATTATAACAAAAATTTTGGAAAATCACAAAATGTGCCACAGAATCAAACTTCTAGGCCAATGCAAAGGCCAATGATAAATCAAAATAGACCTTCATACTTTCAGCCTACAACTACACCTTACAGTCTGTCACAAAATTAAAGCCTATAGATATAATCAATGGACATATTACGTCGAATGAAGCATTCGATATCAAAATCGACCAGTTACTCCTCAATGACTATACCAACAGCCACAAAGAGCGTACAAAACTATTGTATTCAAAAATAAAATCTGATCTCATTCAAAACAAAGAGAAAACGCTAGGACGCGTTAACAGAGATTGCGATAGTCCGACTATACTTGATAACCGAGAAACAGTATACGTCAAAAAGCATATTAGAAAAAAGCACGCCAACAAATTCTCAAAGCCGTGTAGACTACAAAGTGTTAATACGGAGAAAAAAACCGTCACGTCGAACCAGCACGGAAAAGTGCATATAAGTAATTTGAAACGTCCGCTACGCAAACTTTATTCGTTTGACTAAGCCTCGAGCAATTAGATAAGAAACTATGTATGTAATCTACGTTTACATTATTCTTAATTGCATGCTAAAAATAAGATTTTCTTTCGAATATATCATTCTACAGGTTCCCAGGAATCATAGGAATCCATGGTACGAGAACGTTGAAGAATTTAGAAAATAACCTAGGGTTGATACCCATGAAATTCGGGACTGCCAAAATTACAAAAAAATTGTCACTCAATACTGTATTTTTACGACGTCAATTTAATAATCACTGAAGTTAATGACCTTAAGAAAAAACTGAAAATGTTGCGAAATTATTCAGGAAATATATTGAGCACTATAAACACTCAGCAAATTACCTCAATGTTTTGTATTTCTTATAAAGAAAAGTAGACGGAAAGCTAAATGACATTTTTTCCTCTACTTACGAAACTGTTCCATCATTCTCTGTTAGAATAAAAAGGGGATTAATAAACGGCTTAGGTTCAAATTTCAAAGCAATCATAGGAAACCTGGATGCTTCAGATGGTGAAAAATTCGAGTCTCTAATAAGCGATTTGCAGAATAATCAAAACAAGTTATCAGAAGCTATCAATAGTCAGAGTACCTTATCTGTCGAACTTATCGATAATTTCAATAAAACTGTAAGTCAGATTACTCATAACCAAAAGCTATTGGAAGCTAAAATAAATCAGCTTTCAACAGCTATGATTAACACACAAGCCTACATAGAAAATGGCATTTTCTTGAGAGATACGATCTCAGAGATCATGAATATCTATCATATCATAATTTCAGTACTCCTGGATATAGAAAACTCACTTACTTTTGCAAAATTGGGAATTATGCACCCCAGTGTAATCAAACCAAAACATTTACGTCAAGCACTAAATTCAGTGGTAGTAAAACTATCCACAAAGCAACTCCCTTTAGAAGTTACTTTGGATAATATTCCAATTTTTGAAAAGCTCATTAAAATCAGCTGTTATACAGTTGATAGACAAATAACATACATTCTTCAAATTCCAATTGTTCATACATTCCAATTTGATTATTATCACTTATATTCAATTCCAACCTTTCATAAGGGTCTGTTCAAAGTAGTTATCCCTTCTGGAAAATATCTTGTACAGAATGAGTTGTACTTCGCTTTTGCGGGAGACGCATGCACGGAAACGGTCGCAAAACAGTACGTTTGCAAGGAACTAGATTTAAGAAGAATCAAAGAATCCAATCCCTGTGAAGTTCAACTTCTGGAACAAAAAACTCCCACTACCTGCCAAGAAATAGAAGCCGTAATCACAGAGCCAGTAATGAAGAAACTGCATGATTTCGGACAATGGATCTTGCTTATACCCAATGAAACCACCATTACATTAAGCTGTCAAGAAGACCAAGAAACAGTCAAAGTTTTGGGATCCTACTTAGCCGAAATTCCAGTCGGTTGTACACTGGAACTAAATCAAGAGCCTATATCGATTGAAAGTCAGCCAATTATTTTTTAAAATATCGATAGCAATACTTCAATTGCTACCAAGCCGAATGACTTTAGCCTTCATCTAGACCAAATAGAATTTGATGAAGTTCACAAAGTAAAAAGAAGATTAATAGAAAATCGTGTTGACATCCATTCACATAAGGTGTCGCACATTCCCAGTTCTTGGGATGGAGTACTGCTGCTGCTGTTTTGTCTACAAGAAGATCATTCCGAAGATTTTTACTAAGCCGAAGAAACCACAAAGAACCCCTATTGAAGAAGTTGATCTTTCCAATGTGCAACTTCCTCGTTAACCCTCGAAGTTGCATCTACAAGGGGAGGCCTTATAGTACAGAATATTTACTCCTACCACTAAAGAAGAGGATCGAGTTTCCCTGGATCAGCGCTTTGCCTTATCCAGTCTTATTTTATTGTATTCAGAGTTAGTCAGTCTGTTGTTAGCGCTCATACTATATACATCAATAGAATTGTATTTTTGATAATCGAGAATAAATCTTTTTAAAAAGCAAGTAGACTGACTCGGTCAGATAATTCACGTAAACAAAACAAAAGAACAAACATATCTGACTCAAAAAATTCCGCAATCACAATGCTTTCCCGCAATTCGCGTGGAAAGTAAACATAAGATTTGATTTGTTATTTATCAATACAATGCATCTTTTCAAATAATAGGGCAAAGTAGGGTAAATCGTACCGATTTTTAAATTTTTGACTACTGTACTCAAAAATTAAACTCTTTATTGATAATATTAGTACACAAGCACAAATAAACATTTAGCTTTCGATGAATCAAAAGTTCAATTGAATCAAACAACATCTTAAGCAAAAAAAAAGTACAAAAATACTTACAAGTCGTACGATTAAGCTAACAGGTTTGTTTAGTCGTACCATCGGTTTTTAAATCGTACCAATAATTTGTTATTTACAGTTCTCACACACACATATTTTTTTATTTGTTTTTTGGTACCTGCACATGATGTGTGGGCCGATTTTTCACATTTAATACATCTCACCATATCTTCAATAATGTTCTCTTCATATATATGTATAAAGTAGTACCAATCAGTAGCACCATATTCAATTTGAGCCTTTACCTCGGCAGATTTTGAAGTGGAAGAGTGACTGTCACGTGCTTCAAAAAGAGAAGTAGAGGAAAGCTCAACGCTTTTTTTTTACTTTTTTAGTTGATTTTTGCCTTTGGTTACGTTAGTTTTCTAATTCATCCTTATAGGGCGTGGTGCTCAGAATGACAGCTGGTTGAGAAAATTTTCATCTCTTAGCGTAACCTTTATTCTTGGGTAGAGGATAAATTTATTCAATAGAGGTATTGAGATCTGTTGTGTTGCAATTTTTGTTTTGTTCAGTACTATAATTGTGAACTGGTGGCTCAGTAGCATCGTCTTTAGGCTCAGGAGTCGTTTCACGTAGATTTTCAGCCTCTGAGTCCTCGCTTGCTTTTTCTGGAACATTTTCAAGCAAGGCACTAGCAGCGATAAAATCTGTCTCAGAAAATACAGTGCGGTCAACCGGCCATATTCCAGTTCTTTTGAAACTATTCATGATAGTGCTTATTGATGCTGTTTTTGCATAGGCATCAGAGAGCAATCCAATCATGTTGTATTGAGAAACACTGTTACCGGGATTGCTTCTTAAAAATGTTTCTCGACCTTGAGAAAAATAGGATTCTATAGGCTTAAAAAAGCTCACGTCTAACGGCTGCAACCGATTTTTAGTATGCCAGAAAGTTGCAGTAGTACAATTCCATGACTTTTTGTTAAAATGAATGTCTCTAGATTTTTAGAGTGCGTTGTGTGGCCATCTAGTTTTTTTAGGTACTTGGTTTAAGTAGTCAATGAAGTGCTGTAGCCATTTAACAAAAAGTTCACTGTTTATATATCCAGTATCTGAAATTGTAACAATAGTGCTAGGTATTGCACCTATAGCTCTGAAGCCATACGTTTTCTCTTAATAAATTATGATGGGCGGTACAGTTTGACCGGCAGCACTGGCACAAACGACAACTGTGGTATTTACGCCCCTTTCACCACTTGCTATACCTCCAACTTGGTGCTTTCCTCTACGTGCAATTATTTTTTGATTCCGTTTCTGAACTGTTGAAAATCCACTTTCATCAATATTATAAATTTTTTGAGCCGTAAAACCGTTTTCATTAACACATTTTCCTAAAATATCGAAAACTAATGGACGTTTTTTTGGTTGAATCCAGTTGCTCTGGACATGAAGATTTTCTCTGGTTGTCTAAGTGACAGTTCAGAATGTCGGTCCATAAAAGAATAATACCATCCTTTTTCCATCATTTCCTTATTGACATTGAAACGGTGTGGAATATCATTCCGAAAAGCTATTTGAAAAGCCAATCGTCGAACATCTCGAATTGTTACACCAAAAAATCTTTCTTCCAGCTTTAAAATATGTTTTGCCAATTCCACTTCCATTTCAGAGCTAAAATTTGTATGTCGACCCAAAGACTGGACATTTTCATTTGTCTTTTTATTTAAATAGCGCAAGTGCCTTCTAAAAGTCGGCTTTGGAATGTTATAACGTGTGCATTATTAAAACCACACTGGTTTTGTTTTTTTATGCATTAATCGCATGGTCCATATCTTCTGCGGTCCATCGACAGTATCCCCGTTTTGTTATTTTCTTATTTCTTACTTTACTTATCTTCTTTTTTAAAAACCTGTAATAAAAACTTTGTTGAAAATCGAAGCAAGGAGCCTCATTTGGGTAAATCGTACCGGTACGATTTACAAAACTGTGGGTGGTACGATATACAGAGCAAGCATGAATTTATATTTATCAATTAAATTTCAACCTAAACATACCCTTTTTCAATTAATTATTACAGCAACAACTATCTACATGTCCATAAAATACGTAAAAAATATATCTTAAAAATACCTACTTACCAAATGTAAAAAAAGCTTATGAATATTAGTAAAAAATAGCATGAACAACACTGCTTTTAATTTAACCTCAAACTGACTTACAGTGTGGAGTGAACTGCTAAGAATAATTTGGGCGGGGCAAATATAATCATAAAAGCTTCTAAATTTTGACAAAGAGGTGTCACGGGTAGTAGATCATTAATTCAAAAATGGTAGTGGTACGATTTACCCGGCGGTACGCTTTACCCGACTTTACCCTATTTATTATTTTAATCGCAGGGCATTGTCAATTATTCATGAAGCTTGAAGCAATATTATGACAGACATCAGAAACCATAGCGACGCTACTCAAATATTATTAAAAGCAACTTGATTATTATGTTTTAAAAATGTTTTATCATCATGCTACAAATAATGCATTGGAACTTTTAAAAACAAATATCTCTAAAACTATTAGCTTTATACACTTCCAACGAGTGAACCTTTTTTGTTGTGGAAATACGAGAAAATAAGGTTCTTTAGTCAGTTGATGTATACAGGGTAGCACAAAAAACGTATGATAAGTTATTTACCGAAATAGTGCTGTAAGTGGCGCCCTCTAGAAGTTTGACCATAAAAAATAACGGATTCTTGTTTCTCTTACTAGAAAACCTCCATATACCGACTTTTATGCCAAAATCTGAAATACTTCTCAAGCAATAAGGTTAAATAGAAAATAAAATTGTAACTTTGACACCCTGTATATCTATCAATTTTTGAACTAAGGTGTGTTTAGGGGAATTCACATATTTTGGGTCTGTAGTGTCCCCAGTTTCGAGATTTTCCAACCTCTCCCAGACACCCTGTATAAAGAAAGTAAAGCATTCAAACACCTCTGGGCAACAAAATATAGAGCAGACATATTGAGTAAAATAAAACGTGGGACATTCAGAGTATTAAATCTGTAAAGACATTATTTAGAATCAATTGTGTCAAAAGGTTTTCAGTTAGGTACTTCTTCATTTCATTTTTTAAGGCACTATTGCCAAACTGCCTTACATAAGACAGTAGGGCGTTGAAGAACTTAATGTCAAAAAGTTGAGCCCGAATCTTCATTTCTGCAACCTTGATTGGGACAAAACAAGATTATTTGAGTTTCGAGTGTGACGTACCGCGCCATGGGTCAATATAACATACTTCTCTTGATTGTTCTTTACATGCCTTAAGCACAGTAAAATGTATCGGGTAGGTCATTTGTACCACTTTTCCGTTTATATTATGTAATTGAATATACCGTAGTCGACCATATTGTGAATTTGAAGGGATGTTTTCATTAAAACGGTGGAGGGTTCTACCTGTCACATAATGTATATTTTGCACCTTATCCCATGAGGATACCTCAGAATATCCTGGATATACGTTAGGTAAGCACATCCATCAATTTAGTTCGTAACAATAAAGAAGCTCAGCTCATATGCACCCGCAGAGAATATTATGCAAAAACCGACACAATATATTGAGTACATATATTCCGGCTAACTACCGCATAATATATTATCCTTTGTATAATGGATTAATAAAGGTATCAAGCTTAACCAGAAGTTTTAGTATGCACTCCATGCGCTGAAAACTAAATATATGTTGCCAGGAAAAAGCATATATATTATACTCCACCATAAAGTACGTTAAACTTTACAATGGATTTTAGTCCAAATGATTCAGATAAAAATAGGACAACCTACAATCTGCATCAGAGTTTTGCACACGCTCATTTGAATGCGTGCTCGGAACAAATAACAACTGAGCGTCTAGTAACATCAAAAAACGCATAAGCCTGATGTATCTTTAGGTAGAGTCATATTTAAAGGAAATGAAGTTCTGTGGCCCTATTTTGTATAAGTCTATTCACAGTTTTTGGCAAGCGACAGCAAAACTATCTCACTCACACATACATATTCAATCCACCTCTATTCACCGACGTCTGTTTGTGTAAGCTCACGAACATACGTTTTCTAGTTTGCCTTGCCGACTTGAAAATTACATTGTCAACATATAATCTTTCCATATGTATGCCTGTTCCTGACTGTACGACAACAAGCTTGCCTTTGTTGATCTTTGA